TGCACCGCTACACGCGAAGCAGCATGCTTACAGAGCAGGCAGATCAACCAATACTGCTCTGTATCAGCTGACCTCAGAGATCCGAAGTTCGTTAGACTGGGTCGAGGTGTTGTTATGCGCCGTCTTTGACATCGAAGGTGCTTTTGACAATACGTCACACGAGGGCGTGTCAAAAGCACTAGAGAAAAGGGGTGTGGAGGTGCCGGTGCGCAGATGGATTGAAGCAGTACTGTGCACCAGGATTGCCGAAACCACAGTCTCAGAAACCTATCCCTAGGTGGTACGGAGCTGGAGATGGCCAGCACGGTAAAGTACCTTGGCCTCACACTGGACTCCACTCTACGGTGGAAGCAGCATGTAGACCTAACCGTAGCCAAAGCTACGAAAGCGCTCATGGTGTGCAATCGACTTGCTGAGAAATCATGGGGCTGCAACCCCAGGATTATCAGATGGTTGTACACCATGATTGTGAGACCAGTCATAACATATGGAGCGGTGGCCTGGGGTTCCAAAGCATCGCAGACCTCGGTAGGACTTCGACTATCGAGGCTGCAACGACTTGCCTGCATCTGCGCGTCGGGCACGATGCGTACGTGTCCGACTGCAGCACTGGAAGTAATGCCGGAGCTAACACTGTTACATATAGTGCAGGAGTGTATAGAACGGCTGAACAGCCTATCAAGTCTCAACAGAGTGCACCTCATCTGGGTGCCTGGTCACAGGGGTATATCAGGAAATGAACTTGCTGACGAGTTGGCCCGCTCTGCAGCCTCTACAAACATGGTAGGACCAGAACCGTTCGTAGCGGTTGGTCCACATACCATTAAAGACCTGCTCCGTAAAGAGGAAAGAGCAGGCAGGGAGAGACATTGGCAACATCTCCAAGGCATGCGCCATGCCAAGTTGCTAATGGGGGGTTATAAGCTTAAACGGTTTAAAACCGTAATCAATCTCCCGAGAAACAAATTCCGACTTCTGGTCGCGTTCTACACCGGACATTGCAGGCTTAACAAGCATTTATTTAACATGGGCTTGGTCTCTTCTGCAAACTGCCGGTTCTGCGACATGGAGCAGGAAACCCCAGAACACCTACTAGTGGACTGCACAGCAGTCTGCAGACGTAGAGTCAAGGCCCTGGGATCCATGTTTCCAAACAGGGATCGCATCACCTCATTAGCACCTAGCAGTATATTGGAGTTCATCAATATGCTGGGGCTAGATGAGTCGCTGTGACTTAGGGAAGGGCACAATAGACCATAGGTCGCGGTGCATACCTCAATCATTATCTATCTATCTATCTATTAAAATACCTACACTTTCTAGTCGTAGGGAAATGCTTGGCATAATATTATTAGTGAAAATCTTGAATGGAACAGTTTGCATTATTTTCTCCTATCTGAAATTAAATTTAATATCCCGGTTCGCTTTTCGAGGCAGTTTAGACCTTTACTATTAAAATCCTGTAGATCAAATTTTGAACTAAACGAGCCATTCCGCCGTATATGTCATGATTTTTATTCTCATTCCAGCACATTTGACTTATCCGCCTCACTTTTCAAAATTAAAAAGAATTTATTGTTTTCTCTTAATGAATGAAAATGTAACAATTTATTATATTGTAACTATAAATCTTAGCTGTTGAAATTTTTGTTTCTGTAGCTGAGCAGTTTAAGACTCAACACTTAAAAATCTCTCTTGCCTTTTCTGACTCGGTTAATTCCGCACGTATGCGGATTGCGCCCCTTGCGTCGGTTGGGCGGGAGGAGGGTAATCGTTGGGTTATTATTATTTAAAGCAATGAAAAACTGCTACCTAAGTTTTATAGACAAATATACAAAAAAAATAGTAATTTGGCAACGCAGAAAAAGTCGTACAAGTAGTAAAATAGGAATTTCCTACGTGAATACCAAATGCAAAAGTGGCGGAAAGATATAGTTTTATTTGTTTTCGCAGAAGTAGCAATTTGAAAAGATTTTTGTTCTATTCAGTTTGTTATTTAATTTAGATAATCAGACCCCGGCTAAAAAAAAAAATTAAGCCCCTTTGAAAGTGAAATATTGGTTAAACTTTTCGAAGAAGGAAAAACAAATTCTTTCATCCAAAGAGTAATAAAAAAATTACAAACATACTGGCGTTTTTGTATCTCAGCGCGTCCAAGGCGACCAAAAGTACTAGCACAGCATGAAACTCGTAACGTTTTACAAAGTGTGAACTGCAGTCAAAATCGATAAATCCGCCCTCGATAAGGAAATTTTGATACATATTGTGAAGAACGGTGGTGAAGAAGTAATGATATGGCAGTGCATATCTAGTAACTGTCTAGGCCAAATGGAATTTATAGAGTCCGTCATGGTTAAATATGCATACTTTAATATCTTAAACATAAATTTGAAGCAAAGACCGGGAGAATTTGGTCTTGGAAGTAACTCCTATTTTCTACAGAATAACGACCCGAACCATACAGCAGACATAGTTAAGCTTGAGTTACTCTACAACGTTCCCAAGCAGCTTCAAACACCACCAGAAACATCAGATTTTAATCCTAAATAGCGTTGCCCAACAGGATATCACCCGAACATGGGTGCGCTACTTCCTGGTGAAAACCGTTCGATGCTAGGCGACTTTAACTGCCTGTCAAATGATCGTACGGGGATGAAGCAGATTGACGATTGGACATTCTGCACAATGATAAAGCCCCATCAGAACTATGGGCGGCTATGATAGCTCGCCAGATATTAGCGAACGAGCGCGACACTTTACGCCATGCCAATCCCTGTGATCCGCGAATCAGGAATCTCAATTTGGAGATTCGGCAAATGGCTAATCAACATAAGCGGACAAAATGGATACAGCATCTGAAGTCCAGCAATCTCTCCACCGATGTGAGTAAGCTTTGGACTACTGTTAAGGCTTTATCTAATCCGAGAAGGCATGACGATCAGTTGAAATTTAATTCGATGGCCATGCCTCCTTGGACCCGAAGAAGTGCACGAGCTATTTTAGCCGGCAATTTCCACTGCACCCTTCGGCAGACAAGACCAAACGATGTCTTACCCGATGGCTGCGCAAAATACCAAAAGACCGTGCACCACTTACTTTCACCGATGGGGACATTCAGACTGCCATCAATAAGGCCAAATCGTCCAAATCCATTGGCCCTGACGGAATAAGCATGCTGATGCTAAAACACCTAGGCTCGACGGGAGTAAGCTATCTCACTAAGGTGCTCAACTTGTCGATGATCACTCTTCAAATACGATGTGTCGAAAGTCGGAAGAGTGGCCGCACTACTGAAGCCTGGGAAACCAGCCAGCAAATGGAAGTTTTATCGTCCGAAAACTCTCCTCTCCCTAGTAATGAAGACACTTGAGGCCTTGCTATTCCCGACATTCACTCACGATTTGAGCCTAGCAGACTATCAGCATGGCTTCCGAAAAGTGCACAGCACCCCCACAGCGCTTAGCGTCATAAACGCGCAGATAGTTCATGGCCTAGAAGCCACCCTGTGAAAGCACGATGCTCGTAGCGTTGGACTTGTCAAAAGCTTTTGACACAGTCAATCACATAAAGCTAGTTGAAGACATAGAACAATCCACGCTCCCTCCAGGGCTGAAGCGGTGGACTGTGAACTACTTGAGCGGTCGGCATTCATCCGTACTGTTTCGAGGTCAAAACTCCAAACTTAGACGAATTAAATAGGGGGCTCCGCAGGGCGGTGCCCTCTCCCTGCTACTGTGAAGTTTCTATATTTCGAAACTCCCCCAGACCCAGAGGGAATTTCCTTGACTTCATACGCTGATGACTGCACCATATTGACGTCGGGCAATGGAATCAATGGCATGTACTCGAAAGTAAACGGCTATCTCTCCGACCTTTTTCGCTTCTTCTCTGCAAGGGGCCTGACTCTCTATCCTATTAAATCCACAACAACTATCTTTACAAACTGAACGAAGGAGTACAGACTGGATCTGGACATTTCAGTCGATGGCATTAAAATTCCGACAGTCAACAACTCTAAAATTTTAGGCGTTACATTCGACAGGCTTTGCTCATTCACTCCTCACACGACCGCGATAACTGCCAAAGTACAGAGCCGAAACAAAATACTCAAATCGCTTGCCGGCAGCTATTGGGGAAAAGACAAAGAAACTTTGCTGGCAACTTACAAGGCAATCGGCCGGCCGGTCTTAAACTATGCTGGTCCAATATGGTCGCCTGGATATAGTGAAACGCAGACGAAGAAGCTTCAGACTTGTCAAAACACGGCACTCCGGACTATCACGGGATGCCTCTTGATGTCCCCAATAGAGCACCTGCACAGTAAGGCCCTTATGCTTCCGGTTAAGGAACATAACGAGCTTCTCTCCAAGCAGTTTCTGCTGGGATGTTTTCGCAGAAACCTCCCCTGTAGTCGTCTGCGGAGCGGAACCGCCTCCTAGAAACATCAAAACAGTACGCCGACCAGACTTCGGACGCAACGATCTTTTGACAAGCACTGACCACCATTCACAGTGAAGCCACCAACACCTTCATCGACTCCCTCTCAATGAATGGCGTAGTAGGAGTCAAACCACCACCCATCGCATACGTAGTGCTCGAGTTGCCTCGTGAATCTAGAGTGACCCTTGCGCAATTTCGTCCTGGATACTGTAGCAGGTTAAACTTCTATTTATCCAGAATAGACCCCAGCATTCCAAACATATATCCTGCGTGCAATGAAGCTCCGCATGATACTAACCACCTCTTTGCATGCCCAACAAACCCAACTCATCTAACACCCTTTTCCCTATGGTCCGACCCCGTCGAAACAGCTCGTTTCCTGAGCCTCGCGTTGGTTGACCGCGACAACAACCAGACTATGACTTACCACCCAAGCGGGGACTAGATATCCGTTACAACAACAAAATCAAATAAATTGCTTTCTATAAAAAGAGATTTTTGTACGTAAACTTTTTCTTCCCAGAGTATGTTATTTATAAATTGTAAAAATAAATAAATAATTATTTACATCTTTTTTTATAAAAGTTAGTGAAGGATGTATTTATCGTTCATTTGTATGATTAATCTATTTCTTTAAGCATTGCATCTAGGTCATCAAAATCACTTCGTACTTCTTTTTTGAGTACTTTAGAAGTGTTTAATTGTTCATACAAATTTTCAATATATTTTTTTTCTGAAATCGAAACAATGGACGACATAGACCTTTCAGGTTCAACGGCATTAATTGTCGTATTAATGACCTGCATTTTCACAAGGTCTACGATTTTATCAAGGTTCTGTGATCTCATAGTACTAGATACCTCACTTGTTCTATGGGCAGAATCACTCAGGGCACCATGAGTGATTCTTTGTTCAAGCTCTACGTCCTCTGAAAGGCAGACAAATAAATTAAAAGTATGCACGATATACATATATAAAATAATTAAGACACATACCATATCCTTCATTTGAAATGTATTGGTGTGATGAAGTGCAATTTGAATTGTGTGTTTGGTCATAATCATTTATTTCCGGTTTAATGCCGGAAAATTCTAAATCACAACCATACCCACAAAACGTATTTGAACATTCGTCTTCATAACTGTACTCAGAATCATATTGTTCTTCCTTTATACATTCTAGTATATAAATAATTTTTAGTTCGTTAAAAACAATATTTTTATAAATTATATCTAATTATCTTACCTTCCATGGATTCATCTTTCACTAAAGCTTTACCATCACTTGGCAAATTTGATTGTACTTCTTTTCGATTATTTGTCATCATGCAATCATTTTTATCTGTTAGATCAGCAACTATTGGTGGACTTTTATTACTTGCTTGGCCTTTTTCTAAAGATACGTTTTCAGCAGAGTAATTGAATTTCGCTCTACGGAAACGTAAAACAAGAGAGCGCCCATCGATTTGCAAGTTCATACCATGCTTAAAAGCTTCCATTGATTTGTCTACACTTTCAAAACGAATAAAAGCATACCTAATAGGTTTAATTTTTGATTTAAAGGCAAGATCATATCTTTGTGCACCTGGAAATTGTCGTTTTATTGTTTCCACTGATACCGATAAAGACAAATTTCCAACATATAATGTATATGGATCAACCTGCTCTGGTTTCGTAGCTGTTGGTGGTTTGGATGGATCAAAACGTAACTCTGCATATAAATGACCCTGTCCAAACGGGATTTTTGATATGTCTTCAATCACTTTTCCTGCGTCGGCATTTTCTTTCAATCGAACGAAACAAAACCGTGGTGCGGAATTTTTTTGAAAATGAACTGCATCAATTTGACCCGAAAAACCTTTTACTATTTCAGAATCCAGTGGTGGGTCCGGAAAGCGAATGATTAAATATGGGGCAGATGTATTTCGTTTACAGAGCTCCTCTTCAAAATTAAGTGCTCGTACAGCGTCCTCTCTAATCCATTTTCTTTTTATAGAATTAACTTGCGTATTTGTTTGACTGCGATTAATGTTAGAAACTTGCTGGTAATTTGTCGGAATATTAAATTGAAACGGAGGTGGTGGAACTGAAAACTGTGTTGTACTACTAACTACATTTTGATGTAATGAGGCAGTATTTATATGGGAACTATTGTTTTGCTGAGCAAAATGGTATGCCGATTGTTGTCCAAATGAAGATGCTGATAAATGTACAGGCGGTTGGAACTGCCAAGCAATGTCATTATTATAAAAACTGTTAGCAATTTGACGTGCATAAGGCATTACTCTAGGTGCAGAATTATGCGGCGTGATAGAATTATATGGGTAATTTCGTTGCTGATAGCTCTGCGTTTGACAACTTTGTCGGTTCTGGCGTCTACTTTGTGTAGAAAAAGATCTTCTCATATTATACCTTTTCCTGTTCGGCTTCATAATTTCCTTTATTTTGAATACACTTCAAGAGTCAATTGCTTAATATCAGCGTAACAATTATAAAATATAGTTATCTACCGTGCGTAAAATATTTTGTTTCATCATCATATCGATAAATGCTAATATCATGTGGCGTCTTGGCTATCAATAAATGTTGTCTCGACAATTTTCTATTATATTCTGACGAACACGGATGATATAACAAAATCGAATGAACGATAAACTGCCAGAAGCAACTAGTTAGCGAATTCGTAGTTACCAGAATGTTCTAGAAGCAATGTTTTGTTACAGATTTACTATATAAGGGCTGTCGCATTGTGCAGCAAACGCAGTTCTAGTTAGAGTGTTGTCGTGATAAGAACAATTGAGACATAAGCTAGAAGTTGTAAGCTTTACTAACGAGCAATAAGTGTTAAGTTGTTGGAATTAGAAATAAAGATAAGTGTGTAGCCATTAAATTGGGACTTTTATTTAACAATCCAGTGATCGAACTCAAGAGTGAGTTACAGGTAGACGATTTATCGAGAAATCCGTTACAATTGGTGTCAGAAGTGGGATTGTCAAATAAATTCTCAAGGAGATAATTATTTGAAAATGGCTAAGTTTAACGATTTGAAGATTCCACAACTGAAAAAGGACCTGGATCAACGTGGTTTGGCGATAAATGGATTAAAAACTGAATTACAATCACAGTTGAGAGAGACCATGGAGGCGGAAAACATTAATGTGGAGGAATATGTCTTTCACATGGAATTAGAAGAAGAGACAACAAAGATAAAAGAAAAAGAAGAGGCTCAATGCACGTCAAAGATTGTGGACATAAACATGGTTTTTGCCGCAATATCGCAAATGCCAACGCAAATATCGACACAAATTAAAGAGCAGGAAACACAAATGTCGACACAATTTAAAGAACAGGATACACGTATGTCTCAAATGGAAACGCGATTGTCAACGCATTTGGAAGAGCAGTTCGCAGCTCGACGTGCATATGTCAGCGCAGGTATCCTCACAGTTGGAAGAGGAGGAAGCATGTGAACCAGGATCTTCACAGTATGAAGAGCAAGAAGGTTGTATACCAGCAAAAGTGTCTTCGCAGTCGGAAGAACTGAACGGGCGCATGCCAGCACAGGTGTCCTCTCAGTCGGAAGAGGAGGAAGCGTGTGTACCAGTATAAGGGTCCTCACAGTCGAAAGAGCTGGAACTGCGTATGACAGGGCAGGTGTTCTCACAGTTGGAAGAGGAGGAAGCGTGTGAACCAGTAAAAGGTTCCTCACAGTTAAAAGAGCAAGAAGCTTAGATACCAGCACAAGTGTCCTTACAGATAGAAGAGCTGGAAGCGTGTATACCATCACAGGTGGAAGATCAGCATAAAATTGAACCTGAAACGGATGTATCTTTGCAAGAAGGTCCAGAATTGGAAAGTGCATTACATGACGTGGGGTTGAGCCAATGTACAACGATTGGAGAAATAACTACAGGAAGGCCAGTCACAAAATCATATTGGGCAGAACGGAGCAGTTTAAAGTTAGTGTATGGCTGCTTGCATCGAGTATGGAAAAGCGAAAATGGGCAAACTTTCCGAGTACTAATGGTTGTTCTTGGATCCTTGTAGAATTTGAAGCAAAGGTTTTATTGGACTGGTTGTCAATCAGCTATAGTTGAGAAAATAGGCGTGTATGAAGATGGTCCATTCCCACCAATAAATTAGGAAATAGTTATTTTGGTAGTCAAGGACCATTTCAATGAATGGCCACAAGTATACACAATTCCTAACCAAGAGACTGAACCAGTGGCGGAGGCATTCATCAACAAGTGGGTAACGAGATTCGGTGTTCCAATGGAGCTACGTTCTGATCACGAATGGAATCTCAAGTCATCTTTAAGTCAAGGGATGTACCAGAAACTGAGTATCCGGAAAACGGATGGAATCAACTCCAAGAAGAGAAGGACGGTTAACGATGTAGCACCAGCCTAGAAGACGATATGGGGACATAACAGCTTTGTGTTTGGTATCGCAAATATGTCTAATCGGGACGATCAGACTTAGGTGGAGGGCAGTGTGACGAACACGGATAATAGAACAAAATCGAATCAACGATAAACTATCAGAAGCAACTAGTTAGCGAATTCCTAGTTGCCAGAATGTCTATAGCTATTTTTTGTTACAGATTTACTAAATAAAGGATGCCGGATTGTGCAGCAAACAAAGTTCTAGTTAGAGTGTTGTCGTGACAAGCACAATTGAGACATAAGCAAGAAGTTGTAAGCTCGAATAAGAGCAATAAGTGTTAAGTTGTTGGAATTAGAAATAAAGATAAGTGTGTAGCCATTAAATTGGGACTTTTATTTAACAATCCAGTGATCGAACTCAAAAGTGAGTTACAGGTAGACAATTTATCGAGAAATCCGTTAAAATATTATACTGCTATACTTGTTGCCGGTGGAAATTGTATATGGCTTATAACTAGGGGTTAAATTTGTATTGGCTGATAGAAGAGATGCTTCATATTTATATATATATACCTGCCACTGACTTATGGTTCTTGAAATTTTTGTATTTAAAGTTAATAAATATAACATTTTAGACTTGTAATTTTTGGTAAATGTATAGTTTAGTTCCCCAATTAAGAGGCCTCAAAATTGAATTTTTTTTAAATCGTCTTATTTTTACGCCTAGATTACAAATCCGTGAGCGGAAAGTGAATTTTTAATATTTCTAATATTTTTTTTTTTTCAAAAAAATCCAAAAAAACGTTTTATTATTTTGTTTTAAATATGCATAAAAATTGTGATACATTTAAATTAATTGTTTCATTTTTTCATTGTAAAAATCACATATTGTTTAAGTTTTTGGTGTATTTACTCCTCTCCTTCATAAACGTTTCTGAAAATTTATATTAAAATATCAATGTTAGTGCACTTTTATTGTGATATTAATAATAACACATCTCTGCATCGTGATGAAAATTATCATCGAGGTTGAGAGCAGCGAAAAGGATCTTGACTCGATTGAATTATGAACACCTCGGTTTTGGACCGACCAGGGTTATTTTTGAAGCGCGGCCGAAGGCCGCCAGTGCCGAAAGGAGTTCAACGATCTCCGATATTCGTCCATACCATCAGATCGCGGGGCAAAGGAAATTGTGACTGTTACATTTCTTCAGTATATTTTTTTCATAAAAATGTTTAACACGCTGAACTGGTATTACAGCTAAGTGATCTGAATTCTACAGAATTTGCCGCTACAACAAGAACAACTAAGTGACTTCATATAGATATTGAAAAATTCACTTTCCGCTCACGGATTGTAATCTACGCGTAAAATAAGACAATTTAAAAATTTCATTCTGGGGCCTCCTTAGTTGGGGACCTAAACTATACATTTACCTAATTTTTATTGTGTTTTACAATTATATTATGCACTCTACATATATTAACTCTTTATTAATTGTTCTACAATTAATAATTGTGAAAATGCTTTAATTCAAATTTAACTTCATGTTCAAATTGTGTTTATTGACACAGATACACACCAAATATAGAATAATGGAAATTCGGACAGGGAAATTTTAATACTTTTGTGTGAATCCGAATGTCGATTTTACCTAGCTCAAGAGCTAGGTGGTAATACAAAAAGTTATATACAAATTCAGGAGTTAGCGTAATATAGTGGAAAAGCAATTAAACAAACTAGACTGAAGTAAAAAGTGGTGTATGATTTTGCCTAAAATTAATAAATCGGGAAAACTTGCCCTAGCCCCTGATATTCGGGATTTTGAAATGTCCGACTGACTTTACCCATATATGTTTAGTGGTGATGGTATGCGAGCATTGTATAAATCACAAGTAACAATCCTACAATTTTACTAATACACACGCAAAATGTCCCACTTGGTACGGGCTGCGTACTTAAATTTCTACTACAAAGTCACACTTGGTACGGGTTGTCAAACAATATTCTGCTACAAAACGTCAAATGACACAAATCTGCTATAGTTGCGGTGTTATGTTTTAAAATTGTTCCTGAATTGTACTCATTTTGTATATATATTTTCGTTTTGTTCAAATCAAGTTGAATATTTCAACTTATATTCTAATGTTATATTGTTAATGTATATAATATTCATGAACCTTATTTATGTACTTCATTTTATTTATATACTCTTTGGAGTCATAATTGTTATGAAAAGTAGATTGCTTTATAACTGTATATCCTTATAGGTGAATATAGGCCTCTGGCGAACCGGACACCTCAGAAGTGGTGAGGAAAATCAATAAATATATAAAATCTTTGTTTTCGAAAATATTCTTGAAAGTTTATTACAATGTAAAAAGTTAGTGCAACGCACAGAAGTTTTCTGCTCTCAATATACCTTCTGCAGTGTTTTCGACTTTTCACCTGTTTTAAATCGTTTATTTTAAGTTGGTCAAAATGTGTGATATTTCAATGCAATTAAGTAAAGAGTTTTCTTAAAATTATGTGATTTAGTGCTTAATATGAATGGAGTTTGTGTAGAACTTGACTAACCTCATATTCCTAATATATTAATACCGATCCTTTGGATGACGTTCTCCACATCAACTCAATATATTAAATTTCGCTCTTTCGGTTGAGTTGATATCACATATTTCTCATTTAAGTATGATTTAATATAACTTTTTCTGACGGGAATTAAAATATAGTAATAAAACTAAGTGACTATAACTTTCAATATATTGTGACGAACACGGATGATAGAACAAAATCGAATCGACGATAAATTGCCAGAAGCAACTAGACAGCGAATTCAGTTGCCAGAATGTTCTAGTAGTAAAGTAGTTAGCGAATTCGTAGTGGCCAGAATGTTCTAGAAGCAATGTTTGTTACAGATTTACTATATAAGGGCTGCCGGATTGTGCAGCAAACACAGTTCTAGTTAGAGTGTTGTCGTGATAAAGCATTCAAGCTATAAGCAAGAAGTTGTAAGCTCGAATAACGAGCAATAAGTGTTAAGTTGTTTAATTAAAAATAAAGATAAGTGTGTAGCGATTAAATTGGGACTTTATTTAACAATCCAGTGATCGAACTCAAAGTGAGGATTGTCAAATAAATTCCAAGGAGATAATTATTTAAAAATGGCCAAGTTTAACGATCTGAAGATTCCACAACTGAAAAGGAGCTGGAACAACGTGGTTTGGCGACAAATGGATTAAAACTGAATTACAATCACGGTTGAGAGAGGCCA